GCAGTGTCTGCAGGGTGATTTCCAGTGGGAAGACTCAGGTGAGGAGGTGAGGAGTGTCTGTGTCAGAGCATGAACTTTTTTAGAGAGGACTCACAATGGTCCCTTCAACACACTCAGGGCAGAAGCTCAGCGAGTCAGCCTGATCTGTTCTGCTTTGCACTTTCTCCTTCCCAGTGCCCTCTGGGCTCATGTTTTCAAGACTAAATTAATAAATAAGTGCAATGGATGCTTCTAGATCATCTGCTTTACTGTCCATATAGATCTCTAATGCACAGATATTACATAGCTCTCTCCTTGAACAATTTTTCTAACGCTTCAGGGCTGTTGCTTGCCAATATTCACTACAGGAACATTTTATAGGTCTCAGCTGTGGCTGGTTTCACAGCTTTGCAGCACTCTGAGGTATCAGTGGAGGGATTTGTGCTCAGCTGCACACAATGCAGAGCTATGTGCCCTGCAGAGCTGGGGCACACGATGTGAGGAATGCCTGCAGTGCACAGGGGCTGCGAGCACAGGAGTGTGGGCTGCTCAGGCACACTGCCACTGCCAGCATTCCCCAGTGCCCACCACCCTCTGATCCCCTGCTGCACAGTCAGAGCTAAAACAAGAGAGAGCTGTTTATCCCTCTTTTATTTCACTAGTTGTTACAAATGTGTGGATCACTGACACTTACTTCAGTGTGTTTGGCTGAAGGGACAAACTGTGCTCTTGTCTGTACAGGAGAACTTCGATGTGTAACACTTTTCAAATTGAAAACACATATTTATACATAACCTAAATGGAAGCATCAGAAAAAACGACAGGTTATTTTGTAAGGATGTCCCAGCTGTAGCAGGTGAGTCTGCCTTTTTAGGAATGGTGGTAACAATTTCAGTTCAGGATTAAAACCTGAATCTTCCCCAGAACTCTAGGAAATGACTGTTCAACTGAGGCGAGTTGTGGACAGCCATTTTTTTAAGAAATAGAAAATAGAAGACAGTCCACGTGATGACTCACCTGCCTTAAGAAAATATATAAGTTATTGTAAATGGGAAAAGGGAGCCAGGGGCTACAGTTACATGGCCTCAACTGGTCATTTCAGAGGAGTGACTGAACATAAAAGGATCCTGTAAGGCATTGGTGCACATTTGTTGTATGGGGATTGGCTGTTAAAAGTAAGGGAGACGAAGGGTTTTGTATTTTGAAACAGAAAAATCCAGATATACAGCATGACTTAGAGAAAAAAAAAATTTAAAGGAGAGCAATTATATTTTATGGACTTAAGAAAAATGCGCATCTGAAAACCTTGAGTGTGGCCAAATCACAGTTTCTAAGTGCTGTGCAAGGTGGCTGGGTGTGATAAGGTGGTGATTTGACTCCTGGCTGAGCTCTAATGGGAGTGACAAGCTATATTACTGTAGCTCTTTGGGACAGGGCAGTTCCTCTCTGATTCTGCCCTCTGTGATATTCTGTAGCTCCAGGCAGTAAAAATCCCTGTGTGACTCTATGCAGTTCTGTAATATTAAATGGATGACTTCATGGGTGTGGATAAGCAATGACAGCCACGAGGCATGACTAAAGGTGTTCCAGATACTTAGGTTAGACCTGCCCATCCAGAAGTGGCTCATGGGGATAATAACAGTGAGACTCGCATGCTGCTTTCCATGGAGGCAAAGGTCAGTGTTTGGTGAATTCCAATTCTTGGTGTGACATTGAAAACCGTAGCCTTTAGTACGTGTGCTGCTGCCAACTCCAGCTCTGCTTCTTTTCTATTCTTTAAAAACTTGTGGCCCTCAAATCCATCAAATGGTGTGTGTGAGAGATTATGGGCTGTGACAGTGCACAAGCCTTTGTGTGCACTGTGTGTTTCATTATCTGAGCTGGTATCTGTTGCTCAGTTTCTGGTTTCCTTGCTTATCAATTGTGCCTCCAGAACATGTCCCGGCACACAAGTATTGCTGTTGGCACTTGGGTGTGATGACAGAAAATAATCTTGCTAAGGAGTGGGAGGCCCTCTTCAGCCTAAATTCAGGTTTTAATTTCTTGATTTGTTCCTATGATCATGCCACCCCTCAAGTAGCATTTGTAAGGAGAATGAAAGAATTGATTGCTTGTTTTTAAATTTAAATACAGGTCTTTTCAGATGAGGGTCTCTTTTTTCATCAGAGTAGCTAGCTCAGAAAATCCTGAAAGCATTCTCTGTGTTTGAAGTTGATGAGTTGTCTAGAAATAGGTGTTTGCAAACAGGATTAGGGATTTTCCTTCTTACCACGAAACAAAGGAATATCTTGTGTTTATCAGAGTCCTTCAAATGAAGTGCAGCACGTGTGTGTGATGCTGCCATGGCAGCCTGCTTATTGTGATTGTCTACAACAAAAATAGAACAGGAATCTCTGTTTTTCCCATTAGGGGTTCTCTCCTATCTTTAGCAGTGTGTTTGTTAATGATTTGAGGCCAAGTTATGAAGTAGCTTAACTCCAACTTCCAATTACTTATTAACTTAAAATTACTCAATTATTAATCATTCAAGAAGCAGAAGTGTAATACAGTCTGTAAAGACTCCAGGATCATCACATTCCCTGCCTGTTCTAAAGAAATTATCATTACCCTTTCACTCAAGAGGTGAAATAGTATTACCAAGTTATGACTTGCTCATAGATTTCCAGGGCATGCAAACTATGCTGATTATGAAAGATGAAAAAATAATTGTTTCTGTGCATTGATTATTTAATTTCTATGAAAGGGATCAAAGCCTTGTGTTCCTTGGAGTTGACAGTAAAGCAGTTCCTGCTCAGTGGCCCTGAAGACCTTTTTCCCCTCCCCATACCTGTTCCCAGCCTGCACTGACCAGTCCTTCCCAAGTACTCACCAGGCAATTTTGTGTGACTCAGATGAGGTCAAAACTTGTCGGTTGGTAGGAAGAGTTCAAGGGTGAGAGAGAAAACTAGAAACAAACCAGAGCCACATTGCCCAGGCCAAGGTAAGGACCAACACACCTGGTTTTACTGCAAATGGGAACTGTAGTTTTTTATTACAATTAGAGGTTTCATTGCTTTGTTATATTCATTTCTTACTGAGACATCTTTACTTTAAGCATTGAATTTTCAAAACTTGGTTATAAACTTAAAAAAAAAAATAAAAAAACAAACAAAAAAACCCCAGCTATCCCTAGAAGCTTGAGGTTTTGTTTGCTTTTTAAGTTGAAAAGTTCGGTATCAGAATGAAGCCTGATTTGTCCTTGGCAGAGGGTGGGTAACATCACATTTGCTGTTCTAAGCCACTACTATGGTCTTCAGTCATAAAAACTCTCGGGTACCTCTGGTGCCCAACAGTTTCACGGTATGAGTGTCCAGCAGGGTGGCAGACTTGTCAAAAACAGATATTTGACATTATCTTGGGTTAGAGAGTTGAAGGGATAAGGCTGCTATTGCTCTCTGCTCCAGCTCTCTGATCCCAGAGCATCAGGCAGTGTGCTCAAGTATCTGAAGCTAGGACAGGAAAAATCAACCCTCTGGTTTTACAGCAATTGGGAGGCTGTGTGGATTTGTGCTAACTTGTCCCAGTTGAGATGGAGCAGCTCCAGAGACTGAGCTTGGCATGAAGCTCCAAGCCCCAGCACAGAGCTTCTATGCTGTTGTGAACAGAGTAAAAAAAAGCTTGCATGTTGTTTCCCTCCCGTTTTGAGTGATTCTCAATGTTGTAAATACCAGTTAAATCCTTGTGTCAATATTTTCAAGGTGCAAAGCCAGAAACTGAAACATAAACTTTCATCCCAAGTACCAGGCTTACTGTGGCGTGTGCTGGGCAGTGTGTCCGTCTCTGGAGAGAAGTATACCACAGGATAGGACGTGATCAGGAATGAAATATTTGAGTATTTGAGTCTGTTCTGCCTCTCCCTAACATCACATCATATAAAGCAAAAGTTGCTTGATATAAATCGGAGCAGTAAAACGAGTGTGAAGGCAAAATCAGGTTTGTGTTTTTCATGCTCTTCTCTGCAGCCCAATAACTTCTTGTTTCGGGATTGATCTGGTGAATGAATTGTTTGCTGGAAACAGATGGGCAAACAGTAGGAACTGGGAAGGTGTGTCTTGGTTCAATTCATTTTTCTGGCTTAAGCATCTGCTTATGCAATTTATTGCTGAGCAATTAAAGTAGGAGGCAATGCTTGCCTTCTTACAGATGCAGCTCTTGCCCAGTAATATTCGTAAGTTATTTATACAGTTCGGCAAAAATAGCAGTGTGGGGTTAAGGGATCAACCTGTGCTGTCACGATTTGTCATCATGTTCTAAATCGGTATATCTACAAGGGGCATGACCTGATGGACTGTACCAGTTATTCCCCCAAACACTGAAGATGGGTATCTGAGGGTATCTGAGGGAAAGAACACTTTATCCAGTGGATTAGAAAACAGACGAGGTTAAAGCCTAACAAGTGCTTTGGGCTCAGGATGTTTCACCAGATGATTCCAAGGAGCCGGCAGGTTGCCTCCCCTTGGAAAGTTAGTGATTAAAGTGTTAACCGGAGCCTCCTGGAGGTGGAACCGTGGCTAAGGGCGGGCTTCTGTCAGCGCTTGGAGAGAGGAAAGTGGTAGGTAAATATTCCCGACGTGCACCGAGGTGCGGGGAGTGTCCTGGGCTTCCAGCATTCCCAGTTTGTTAAGCAAAATAGTAATTCCCAGCTCGGAGGGTCCCCTGCAGCGGCAGAGGTAGCTGTCCTCCAGGGCCATGCTGCCATGCCTCTTGCAGGGCTCGGGGGAAGGTACGTGAGACTCCTCCCGTGCTGCTCCCGCTCGGATCGCACGGCCAGGTAAGCGCGGAGCGCGGCTGGAGCTGCTCTGCTCGCTCCGTGAGCTGCGCTGTCGGGGGAGACCAGCTCCGCAGCCAGCCGGAACTCCAGCCGCACTCCTCGGGGGTCATTTGGGAGGGCAGGACAAACGCCCGCTCGGAAATGCTGGGCGCAAGTTGCTCACGGCGTGTGGCAGCGCGCAGAGGCTGCGGCGGGCGGCTAACAGGGAGCGCTGCCCTTCGCTCCGTGCGCCCGTGCTTTGGAAGGGACGTGCGTGACCTTGTGCGCTCTTTTCGGCGGCTGGAAACGGCCTGTGCCGGCCGGCTGCCAGCAGAAAGTAACTTCTCCTGCTCAAACGGGGGAGCATCGCCTTGGAAAGTGAAGTGTGCGAGCCCCTCTCTAGCAGTGCCTGCGGGGAGGGAGCGTGTGCGACTCCTGCGTTGTGCCTGGCCAAGTTAAGGGGCCGTATTCTCATAAACCGGCTTACTGCTGTTTTTGTCAAATCCCATTCCGAGCCTGCCCGAGCAGAGGGCTTATGCTGTGATTTGTACTCAAAGGAGTGCTCCTAATGCTCTGTACTGAACAGCTAATTATTAAAATAAGGTGTGAAGAACTCGGAAAGCCCGAGAAAAAAACAAAGCCCTTTTTTTAAGTGGGGAAAACACAGTTGTTCAGAGTAAGTACTTGGTTTTAATTATCACCTTTTTCTTCGGTGGTAGGGACATTTAACGTAAACAAAAAGAATTTAAAAAGGAAATATGAAGTTCCATAACTAGAGTTTGTTCTCTATTACTTATTGTAATATTTGATATATAGAATTACCTATAGTAGTCTTTGTAATATACAATATTTGTAATATCGTACTTATTTGTACTCTTATTAAATAGGATTGTTCTCTATTATTTTTGTTCTCTATTATCTAGAGCTATTATTCTGCTGATACTGAGTTTATCTATCTGAACAAATCTTAAATTCATCTTTATAGAAACCAATCATTATTGAAAAATTTGCTAAATATCAGACACTTGCGAGTTTAGAAGATGCAGCTGGATATGGTGTTGTGCCTATGGTGCAAAGCTTTGAGCTGTACAAATTATTCCATGTGTGTAGTTGATAGCTGAATTAACAGACAGCTGAGCCTTGTGGTTTCCATAAAAGAAATAGAAGAGGTTCACCCTATCCCGACTTCCTGAGGGTTTGGAAGAGCTTTAGGAAGCACTGGGTCAAAACACCTAGGGATCTTGACTGAGATTTGGAGTTTTAGGTTTTCTAGCACTGGCAAAGGCTCTGTGTAGCACACTGCACTCTGCAGACCCTGGCTTAATATATGGATGCACCAGAAAGCACGTGGAGGCTGTTACACAAATTGAGGTGCTGCCTTGCTGCTCCTGCTTGGCTCAGTTCTGGATCCCGGGTGTCCCTCTCCTTCCAGTCCTCCTCTGCAGCTGCCTTTTTTTATCCTTGTCTAAAAGTCTGTGTAGCCATTTGCTCTGAACTTTTGCTTTGTCATTCCTGCACTCTACTGTCCCTGGTCTGTCCCCTTAAGTAAATGACTTAAATATCACTGTACTGAATAAAAGGGAGCAGGTCCTCTTGTCTGCCTCTGCACCGACGCTTGGACTTTTTCTTTGGGAAAAAAGCGCCACATTTCAGGTCAGAAATGAATCTTACAGATAAGTACAGCTCAGTACCGTTGTCAGATTTGTCTTGTGCCCTGATGTGTCAGTGCTCTTGCAGCTTTGGAATGTGCACTGGTCTGTCTTCCCTTTGCTTTTCCTGGGCTCCTCCAATAGTTGCAATCCTCCTCTAGAGATGCTCAGTTTGCAGCTGGCCCAGTTTTAATTTCCTCCTGACTTTCCCTTGGCTTTCCTTTCTTTCCTTCACTACGTATTTCAGGCTTCAGTAAGTCTTCCTTCAAGCATTAGATTTCTACTTGGTTAAGTCTCAGGCCAGCAGTTTAGTCGAGCCAGGATCCCACTTTCCAGGTGTAACTTATCTGAGGAAATTCTGCTCTTCTAATCTACTTTAACATGATGGTAAAGACACCTGTGTGATACAAAGTAAGTCAGGAGTTGCCTTCGAATGAATGACACAGGCAGACGTGGTTAGAGTGGCTGGAAAATTAGCATGGTTTAGTCCAAATCAAAGGGAGCAATGGAAAAGGAATTTCACTTCTGTTTGCTTCCTCAAAAGGACTACAGGGAAGTGACATGGAAAGCAGCAAGATAGCAGGAGGTGATGGAAAGTCTAACAGCTTTGTGGATTTAGGGAGCGCCAGTGCAAATATCCTGACATCTGTTGTGTCAGGTACTGGCACTGGGAAGTCACTGCGTGCTGGCAACCCCCAGGTTCAGGGCTTGGCTAAAAATAAGTGCTGTGAGAGGTGTGCAGCCAGAATGTGCCCATGAGAAGGGTCCAGGGAGAAGAGGCTCATCTCTGGAGTGAGCTGGTGGTGTGGAAGTGTTCGGTACGAGGCTGATAAGCACAGCAGGTCACATAGCTGAGGAAAACAGTGAGCGTTGTGCTTCTCTGCCAGCCATAGCAGAGAAGGCTTTGTCCTGGACAGTAGGGCTGTGAGGGAGAGAAAGAGAAAGAGAAAGACATTGGTGAAGAATTATCCCCATCACCGCCCATGCTCCCAGTTAGGTTTATTTTCAGGATTTTAATGGCACCCGGCTGATGAAAATCTGTTCAAGGTGTTTAAGGAAATAATTTACTAGGAGCCATCCACTGCATAGCAAGACACAGTGTTCATCCCTTTTTTGTGTGTGTAAAGGTCACTTCTCTCCATGTGCAGAGATCAGCTTTTTCTTTCAGATGAATCATTTTAAGGCCAAATACTGTAGAAAAGAGTGCAACCACAAGCAATGAAGCGGTGCTGGAGCTTGCCAGTGTTGCTGCTCTACAGTTAATAGAGGTGACTCGGCTCTTAACATGTTGTTTCCTGACAGGTGGGAGGAAGCTGAAGTGTGTGTTCAGTTATTCAGGTGCCAAAGCATATAAACCCTCCTGCATCTTGTAAAAGTGGCTTGAAATTACACTGACACAGGCAGCTGCTTCACTTAGAGGTCTTAAGTAAATCACATGAAATCAGATTTCAAGGTGTGTCCGGTGGTTACTGAAGTAATTTCAAAGGGAAAACCCAAGCAGTGGTATACAGCAGTGTCTTCTCGCACACACAAACTCGGGTGTGTACAGAAGTCCCTGGGCTTGTTTAGCTCTCAGGTATGTTTTTGTCTTGATGGATGTCACTCAAAGGACAAAGGGAGTGCTGCTCCTTTCGGTGAGCTACTGACAGAGCACTGCCAGAGACATCAGCTGCTCAGGTAAAGCTCGTTTTGGTAGTGCACTCTGGTTTTAGGGATTATGAAACAACTTCCTGTGTTTTTTCTAGGGTGAAGATCATGGTGTTTTTATTCAGAATTTCTCATTTGTCCACATACGTTGTTTTTTAGAAGATATTTATCTATGATTATGGAAAAAAAGCAGCTCAGTAGTGCAGTACGCAGAATTGAGGTGTTTACTCTTTGCCCAGCCATGATTTGTTCAAGGTTGAATGTTCCCTGAATCAGTTTTTGGAAGGCTGCTTGTCACTAAGACTAGAGACAATCAACTACTTTGCAGATATCTTTAACCAGGCCCTGTCCAGTGCAGTCTGAAATCAGATTCAATTCAATCCCCTGGCATAAGGGACAACGGACACTGAGTGCTGTGAGCCAAAGTCCTTTGTCATTATGCCCAAATAAGAGAAATGGAAGTGGAATCATCAGCTTCCAGTGCAGTCTTTGGAGGTGTTACTGCTTTCCATGGGATTCTTTGAGGGTTTTTTCCCCTCCCATGTGTGATGCCACTTGTTCAGTTAACTCCTCAGTCTTCCTTTTATTGTAGTACCTGAGGGTGAAGGAAAGAGCCTAGACTCCATAATTAAGCTTATTGAGGAATGCATTGTTGAAGTCTCATGGGTCTGGCTCGTTGCCTGCATAAGATGCTCAAATCCCCATGTGGAAATTTGTAAATGGTATTGCTACCTCCCTGAAATTACTGTCTTGTTCTGTCTTTGCTATTCCACTTGATTTCTTGGTGTGCTGCAGGACTGTGCTGATCATCATGACTCCTTCCCATGCCTGGTTTTAGGAATCTGGATGAGGGTGGTTTCCAGGTGTGTTTTGGTGACCCTGGGTAATGCTCTATCCATAGTGGACACACGGATCCTGACCAGTACACGGGCTGCTGTCTCAGACTGCTAACAACTCGAGCATAATCCTGGAGTCAAAGTAGTCCTAAAACTGCTTGAGAAATTCCTGGTAGATGTAGTACTTGGGATTTAAGGTACTATTATATACTTGATGGGAATGGCTTATGGCTTTCTTTGTGAGGAGTGGGAAATACTTGGGTATTAAGGCCAAGTATGAAGTAGTCAAAATATAGTGCAGTGAGCCCTCAGCTTGAGTGTCCTGTTTCACTTGGCCAAATAAGCTTTGTGCTTGATTACTATTCCATCTTTTGTAGTAGCAGTAGTGAATGTATTTACTTTATTTGACCTTTTTCTTAGATTCACCTCTTCTGAGTAAATGAAGAAAGTGAGTATGAAGGCACAGCATCTGCCTTCTGTTTTCATCAATGAAGACAAGTTCGTAACCAGGTAAATTATTAAAACTCTGAATATTTTATGACTTCTTTCCCTCAAGTTATTCCACATTTATTCCTTGATAAGGGATCCTATAGAGAGCTGAGCCTGCAGCAATCCCTACCACTTAGTTTTACCTGTCTACAGAACAGAGTCGGCCTTTACAAGAACAGAGCGTTAAACCTTTGGAGTCTGTGGGTTTTGTTCTCTAAGGAGAACAGCCCTTCTAGAGGATTCTGAAATAAAATTGCAAGTTGGGGAAGACGACCCTCCTGTCTTGGAAATCTGTTGGAATTGACCAGAAGTTCCAGAGCTGAGCTCTGCTTGTCTGCAGCTTGGGATTTGGCAGCCCTGGATTGCAGGGTATCTGTACAGAAAGACTTTTGGGCTGCTAGCTCACTGCTGTGGTCAGAGGAAGTCTCTCTTTCACCTTCTTGTAAGAAAAGCTTGGAATTGCAGTCTAACTGTCATTTGTGGGATGCTTTTCCATTGTTCAGTCTCCTTGGGAGGAATTTTTCCTACTGCTGGCCCGAACTCTGAGCCACTTGGCATTTAGCTCCGTCCTCTTTGTTATGGGGTTGTTTCTCCCCAGTTGACAAGGGCACAGGAGCTGGAAGAAGGGTCTCCATTTCCCTCCCACTTGGTCTTCCCATGGGATAGAAACTAACTGTAGACTCAGCCAGGGATGGGGTCTGCAATGCAATTTATCGTGCTGCAGTAGAGATTTGTTCCTGAATCCTGATAATTTGCTATGTGGCCTGAGCAATGCTGTTTTCTCCCTTTTCAAGGAAGGGTGTCAGGGCTTTGCCCAGAGCACACAGGCATCAGATGCATCACTCCCTTTCTCTTCAAGAGTTGTTCCCTTTATACTGCTGCTAATTTGGGATGCAGTGCTTTTGTGTCAGAGGTAATTAATGTGTGTGAACTTGGCATGCAAAGCGTTTGGAAATGTGCCAGGCAAACCGGTGTCTCTGGGGCTTTATTCCCCTATATACTTGCCTGTTCATGTGATGAAGTGTGCATCCCAGGTGAGACCTTTCTGCTTGACAGCGATGGTTTAAACTTTCTTTGCTTTGCATAAAAGGAAATAAGTGTTTCAAGAACCACTGACATTCCATATACACTCAGGCTTGCTTCCAATGCAATTTCCAGACTGTTATCCCTCATCTGTACCTTGAATCTGCTGTTGCACTGCTTCTCTTCCAGTTCTATCCTGTGAATCTTGCTGATGGGGCAAGCTTGCTGTTTGGGGATTGCACAATGGCTGGATCAAAAAGCTGACCAAAGCTTGTGGGATGATTTGGCTGGCGGAACTGCTGCGTCTCCAGCATAACTGCCATAAATATTCACAGACCGCGTGTAGGGCTTGGGCAGGGGAGGGCACAGGTGAGCTGTCCTGGGTTAGTGTTTCCAGAGAGCAGCCTGGACTCTGTTGTGGTTTATCCCCGGGGCACCCGATCTTGCAGCTCCTTTGTATCCTGCTTTTGCTGCTGAAGAAAGTGGTGAATCTGCAGTGCACGTTATGCTTTTGGGGCGAGTTGTTCTGCCAGTTACTTGGCTTTGGCTTCTGTTAATGGCTTTGTTTGGCTGTTGTCACAAAGCTGCTCGCAACGCAACAGCTGCTGATTTTCCAGATGCCAAACTCAGCAGAGATGGCATCTGTCTCTCGGTTAGGGCAGTAGGAAGATGTGTTACAGTAAGACTACTCCTGGAACTAGACTGGTGCACATATTCCCTTCTGGGGCAAAGAGAAGGAAAGTGTGTTTTTTTCTCTTATGTTTCTACTTCGCAAGGACAAACAAGCCAGAGTGAGCTGCTGTTAATCTCTCCCTCAGGGCTTTTCTAATTGCTTGTGTGGTTTGTCACTGTTGGTTGCACTATTGCAAGGCTGAAACATGGAAGATTTACTTAATGCAAACTTCTGAGGAAGGTAATGGCAAGTTTTTCTAGACGAGGCAAAAAGCTGTGCAAAAATCTTGAGAGCTTGCTCTGAGAAGCAGAATCTGCTTCAGAGATGACCCTTAGCAGACCACTTACTGCTGTTAGGCTGTGATTTTATTTGCCTTTGCGGTCAACATGGACTAAGAGTAATAGGTGGGCCTCAGAGTCTGACCCAAGTCCTTCTGTATTTCTGGTACATCTTCAGGGAGCTCACCTTCCTCACTTCCTACTTGGAAAAAACTTGTGAAGTAACAGCTGTCAATAAAATGATTGCCAAATGCTGTGAAGTACAAAGAGACTTGAGCTTGAAGCACCTCTTGAGAAGGATCAGCAGGTCTGTCACAACATCTGTCAGGCACAGCTGCCTATCTCCTACTTGCCTGTTAATCCTCAATTGCATCTGGGTCTTGGCCGTGTACGAGGCCAAGACGTGCTTAATCTTGCTTACCTGTAGCCAGCGTGATCAGAACTGGGCTTGTACCTGATTCATACCCAAATCTATTTCCGTTCCTTTTTGGTGGCATCACCTGAATGCAGTCCCTCACAGCTCAGGAGACACAAAGAACCTGTAATGAGCTATTTTAAACCAATGCGAAGAAGGGGCTTTGCCACCAGTATGCTGAGGATTTAAGACCTAAGTCGGTTGAAGTAAATTTTGAAACTCCTTGTTTAGAATCCAGTTAATAAAGCTAGTTAAAAATACTTTTGTGTGTGGAATTGCAGTAAGGTAAAGTAAATAATTTACATCCACAGAATTAGCAGGGAATGCAATGAACCTTGAGTTTAGTGGTGCAGGCGTTATCCTAATGTTACCTGCTAGATAAAAACCCAGTCTTTCCCCTTCTGACCCTGGGAAAAAGCTCTCTAAAGGAACAGGACACTGTCCTGTTTATGAAGTGGAGAGGGGAAGGTGTGCCAGGGAAAGCTTTCCATGTTGATGCTTTGCAGGGCCCTCTGCCCCAAGCCCAGCCTGGACATGCTGCCTGCCCTGCTGGCTGTGCCTGGTTTCTCTCTGGTGTGTGGGCAGCTGGGCCCAGGGGAAGGCCACGTTCCTGGGGCTTGTCCCCAAGTTGGGCTGTCAGTTCCTCTGGGGTGCTCCTTTATTTAAAATCGGTGGAGGGGTTGTAATAGTGTTTCTGATGGTAGCTGAGCATCTTCAGCAGCTCTCTGAGGAACGTGTGGTGCAGAGTTTGCAGGTGCTGTGTGTTCCATCTGTGAGCCTGCTGTTCCAACAGCTCACACAAACGTGGAATTAACAGGCACTATTTGGAAACAGACTTGGTGTCCTCACACATCACTGCGAGGCAGGACACGAAACCATTGTAAGTGTTAGTCCAAAAGGAAGAATTTGTACACTTCTTCCATGCCGTTGTTCCCCATGGTTAACCACCTCTGCTGGTGGGAATTGCTTGCTTGAATTAGTGTCTGATTCATCTTTAAACGGTGTGGGGAAGAGTGTTTCATTCTCGATGGCCTTGAAATGCATTTCAATTAATTCTGTCGTTGTTCAGCCCTCCATAGCCTGAGCTGCAGCTGGCTTTTTGTCTCCATGGCTCCTTGCTTGTTGGCAGAGGTTCTCCTCATCTCCTTCCTTTCTCCTCTCAGCAAAGATGTGGTGCAAAGCTGTTTTGTTTCAAGCAGAGGGAAATAGAAATGTTAGGCATCCTGTAAGGTGCTTGGAGATTAGAAAAGTATCCGAAGCAGTATTAAAACTGAATGGAAGCCATCATGCAGGGAAAACCTAGTTAAAGTAACCTGCAACATTGGTGCATGACGATGTTGTTCTGTTTGCTTCTTCCTCATGACTGCTACAGAGGTGCAAAGTACGAGAGCTCTCCTGGGGCACTGTTATTAAGGTCATGTGGGACTGACTAATTAATTTCCTCTGGGTCTTTAAAGAAGCAACTTATGAACAACCCAGTAACTTGACAAAACTTTACTCTCAGAAAATGAGGTATGGATCATTTACAAGCCTCTACAAGGATGCAGTGGGTAGCACAGTTACGGGGTGTTACCCTGCCACATACCACCTGCATTTTACACAGATGTTAAAAATATTTTTTCATTGTAATCTTTTTTCTAGAGAGCAGCTCAGTTCTCTTCTGAAGAATTACAACTCTTACTATTCAGATCAAGAGAATCTGCAACTGACATATAGTCAGGTAAGGATGTAGGGATGAGAAACTCCACTAATCTAGACATCACAAATTAGTGCTCTCTTCTCCTCATAGCACTGGACTCCAGCACTTGCTGTGGTGTTTTTATTGCATGACATGTTCCATCTAATAGAATAAACCAGAACTGATTTCCTAAACGGATCAGGTCAGCCTGCAGCTTTGGCTGTTTTGGAAATTGCTCAAACTGAGGTTACATGTTCTCCAAGTAATCTGTTCCAGGGCTGTGCCAGCCTCAGCGATTTCACTGTATTCCTCTTAGTTTGAGGGGAGATAGGTTATTATGAGTTGATTATTTTTACTCTGTTATTATGCACCACTAACTGTTTCACTGTTTTTCTCCAGCGAGAAGGAAGCACACCATTCATTGAAGGAATCCTCTCAATATTCTGGGGAGTGCGACATCCGATCCGATTAAAAATTCAGGATGAGAAGCAGATACCTTCTTTTGTGACCCTGAAGTCAACAGAGAATGTGGATTTTTTCCCTAGTAAAAGGTAAAATATGAACTTCCATCAGGAGGCCAGCATTGCAAGTTACCTCATGTTGTGGCTGCACTGGATATCCCAGGCTGCCCAAAGGCCGTGGTGCTTGCTGGACAGCAGAGCCTTTCAACAGCCTCTGCTGGGCAGAAAGGTTTGTGTTTGTAGCATCTGTGTTCGGCCCTCAGGCTGAGGAGGTGGAGGAGGCTGCTCTTTTTCATGGGAACTGACTATTCCTATACAATGAGTGGGAAATTGATATATAGAAAAATATGGGAAAACACCTAAACCAACCCCACGTGTTTGCATGTGCACCTGACACTGATAGCCCTTGAAAGCTCTCGTGTTGGTGCACACAGAAGAGCATGAAGCCAAAATCTGGCAGGCGAGTGCTGAGGGATTGTCTGTGCCAGCTTACATTCCCAGGTGTGTGAGGTCTGGAACCATCGCTGCACAGGTGAAGTTCAAGTCAAAGAATGAATACTGGCTTTGTCTGTGCAAAATTTAGTGTAAAAACGCCTAAAATGCCCACAGACAAGCTGTTCCAGCTGCTGCCAATGACATTTCATATCCCAGTGTGTTGTGCTCAGCTGATATAGGTACTCAGTGTACTTTTGCTTTGTTTTGAACACTCTTTTTCCAGCCTTGGTTGGTGAATTCGATGAGCTGAATCAGAGTCTTGTAGTACAGGGGCAGAGCCAATGTTCACCCTGCATGACTCCCTGATAAATTGTGTATTGCAGAGTTTGTTTTTCTAACTGCTTATTGTCTTGGATTGCATGTGGGACATGTTGGAACTGGGGATTTAAATCTGCCACCTTGGCAGTCTTCTTCCCATCTCTGGCTGTTGAAATTCAGGGATGAATTTTGACAGGAGTAACTAGGAAAGAACCTGAGTTTTAGGCAAATCTGGCTCTCGGTTTACCTTGACCAGGTGTGGGGTGTGCGTGGCCTGCAAGGCAGTTCTTAAAAAGCTTCTGACTGGTGGAAACCTATATCCCAAAGTAAACATTAACTCATGATCCCAAAAACGTGGGGCTGCCCTGACATGCTTTAAGGTATGCAGAGAAGCTTGGCTGTCTGATCTTAAATGAACTTGGTAAATGTGTGGAATCCAACCAAGATCTTGTTTGGCATGTAAATTGGGGGTAGCTGAATATTGTTTGGAATATATATATATTTATAAAGGTATATATACACATTAAATTAATTTTTAGTATTGCACTACAAATTGGTTTATTCTCAGTCAGAGCAGTAACTGGCTGAAGACCTTATGCTGAAGAGTTTAGGCAGTGATTTATGGAAGTGTTGACATGAATATAGTTCTTCTGACAGGCTGGATGGAACTTCCTGCTCTCATACACAGCTGGTTTGGACAGCACAGGGAGCTGTGTGTAATCTAACCTGTGTAACAGACCAGTGTTCTGTAACTATTAAACAACAATATATGTGTTTTGTGTGCCTGCCTGGTAGTCTGAGTGTGATTAATCCAGGGTTTGTTGCTGTAAAACAGATCAGGAATTACTGCAAGTTACGTTTATGTTATGTCCTGGTTGATGTTCAACAGGTTCTAAATTGGATGTGTTACATTTGGGATCCCTGATCATACCGTATTTTAATATCTGATTTCATTATGACTTAAACTAAAATTACTGTGCTGAAGTCTGTAAGTTGAGCAAGGATAGGAATGTATTACATGAACCCTGGCCACAGGATAAACTGAAATTGCTGGGTTCATGAGGAGCAGTCAATGATAACTGCATGTTTGGTCTTTCAGGGGAATGACTCGCTGGGGAGAATTTGATGACCTCCATCACATTAGCGGGGATACACTGAAGTCTACTGAGGAACAGCCAGACGTTGAGCAAAGTCAGTGCTCTCATGCTAACCAAAAATTCTGTGTTCTGTGACGGTGCAAAAGGAATTTCACGCATCAGGCCTTCCCTGCCAGCAAAGGGAAATCTCTCTGCTCTGTGTAGCATGTACTGCAAGCTGGGGAAACACCCACCTAGGGCTCATTAGGGCCAACAGTGCTGTGCAGGTGACTTGGTGAACAGCCAGTGGGAATGAGCTTTTATCCCAGAAATCATTGCCCAGGGAGCACAACAGCAAACTGCAACCACTGCAGTCAGCCCATTCTTCTTCATCATATGCCTATGCCTTGTTCCTTTCCTGCTCTACCTTCTCTCCTAAAAAAAATAATAAATAGTAAATAAACCCCTTCACCGAGAGCCTCCATCCTCTGGGGGTGCTGGCAGGGAGCGGTGTGACCAGCTGCACACGACGTGTGCTTTTACTCTGTGCAGGCTATCCATGCTATGAAAGTCTCACGCTGAAATCCAGGAGGGAGCAGGAGCTCGACTGTGCCACCCTGCCCCGGACCAGCAGCGGTGCCGCGGCCGTGCGCAAGAGGAGCAAGCTCCCCACCATAGCCAGGACACAAGTAGCAACTCACAGGTTCTCAATCAATGGCCACTTCTACAACCACGAGGTAGGACATTTTAGGCTTGGCTCTGTCGCCGGAGGGACAGGGAACCCTGTCCAGTGAGTTTTGCCTTAGCTCACACCACGACTGTTCTTCCCAGACATCAATTTTCACTCCGGCTTTTGGATCGGAAACCAAAATAAGAATCAACAGCCAGATGAGAACCAGACAAGTGATAGAACAGTTGCTTCGTAAGTTTAAGGTAAGTCTGCTGGCAGGAGGAAGCGTGGCCGTGCTCTGGAAACGTTCATTCCGATGCGCGCTCCAGCACTGCGGGAAAGATGGGGAATAACTGGGCGGCGATAATGCATGGAGCAGAGTGTAAAGAAAACCCTACGTGGGCAATTTCAAGTGCACGGGTTGGGTTTATTTTACCAATGTTTCATGGCTCTCAGAGGCCAGAAGGGCGTGTGCGGCGGCCGGAGACCTGCCGGGCCCCTGCTCCGCGCTGCCGGCGCTCCGGGGGCAGGCAGGGGCTGCGCCTCTCCCCTGGCGGTGCTGCCCTCCCGTGGGACCATCTCCCACCGACAACATTGTACGTGGTCAGAAGTAGTTTTGCCCTTACTGCTGCATGTTTCTCAAATACCTTGATTTTGCATGGCTGCTTAATGTTTAATTTATATTTCAATGGTCTTGAACTTCCCATTTAAATTGTCTCGAAACTTCGCTATTGCAGAATTACTTCATGTGACTAGTAAGACTTGGGATTGTCTTGGAAGAAAAACTTAACTTCTAGGAGTAATAAGGAAGGGAATTACAGAGCGGAGTGTAAAGTTGTAGGGAATAAATTGCAAACGAAGTGTTCCAGAGCTCTGCTGTTCTCTGCATGTGGCTGTCAGGCACAGCAACACAAACAGCAGACCTAGATGATGGGAGAAATGAGCTCTATGAAGTAGTTAAGGATGCTGCAAGGAAATCAGGCAGGAAAGATCTGAGGGTTACAGTGTGTTACTGATTTGGGCAGCATGGCAGCACAAGGGTTAGGGCTGGCACAGGGACAGTGAACATGGCAGTACAGCTTTCTGTCTTATCCAGATCCAGCATCTTTTAACTTTTCTACAGACAGGATCCCTGTGTCAGACTTTGATCCAAAACTCTGAGCTGAGACACGGGGAAAATGTGCTGAGAGGGAAGTGCTGGGAAGATCTGTGATTCTAATGGATTTTTTTTTTTTTTCACAGATAGAAAACAGCCCCCATGAATTTGCACTTTATGTTATCCATGCATCTGGAGGTAAGCCAGCCACTGCTGTCTGACCACTTAATCTCTAATCATTCTCTGTGTGTGTGTGTGTGTGTATCTGTGTATATGGAATGTGTCGCTTGGAGTAACAGGACTCATCCCAGGCCTCTGTTTTGTTTGTGCACTGTGTGTGTGGTGTGGCATTTTGCCTTTTCAGGGACCCTTCAGAGATATCTCCTCTGGAGAGGAAAAGCTGAATAATAGTACTGTGGGTCCTTTCAGCTGACAGTTTTGGATTGCATGTGCTGAGTTCCAAGTACTCATTGTTCAGTGGAAAAAGTTTCCTTCCATAGCAGTTTACTCTTACTTTCTCAGGAAAAGGGAGATTTGATCTTTATTAATGGGAACACCTCAGAGACTAGGAGGGAACTGAGGAGAAGGTACTTTAAATGACACAATATTAGGGACCTTAAGGTATCTGGTAATTGCACTTGAGTAAGTATGGGATCTGTGTCAGGAAAAAAGGCTCAGGACTGCAGGTGGTAGGCAGAGCTCATGTTCCGTGCCCTGTGACATTTCTTATAAATTCCAGAAAAGAAGCAGTTGAGGAGTGGAGATATTCCCTTGCTGCACAGACTGCTGCAGGGGCCCTCTGAGAGGATTGCCAAGTTCTTTCTCATGGATGGGGACGTGGAAGAGATCAGCAGTGATGTATGTATATCCTCACTTCTTAGAGTTCATGGAATTTTTCTCCATGACCACAGTTGGTAGTGCATTTCTTGTCTTCTCCTTGTTAGGTTGCTCAGTACATTTCATTTCATCTTCCCTTTTTGGAGTCGATTCTGCACAGAATAAATGAAGAGGAGAAGCAGGAGATTCAACAGACAAAGTCAAGGTAAACAGACACAAAATGAGGTGGCACAGAGTCCAGGGTAATCTGTACAGCTGTGGCCTGGCTCATGAGAAGAACATAGAGATGTAGCAGAGTGCAGGTAGAACACTGTGATGGGAAGGCTGAAGGGATTGGGAGGGTTTACAGTCCTTTCCCTATCCTATTGCTCTTAAAGATTCCAGGATTAATACTGATTACACACAGAGTCGGACCTTCAGAAAACTTCTGAAGTAAACTTCTCTTTGTTTTGTTTGCTGTTTGCTTTCTGAGCCTTTCATTGGCTCAGTTTGTACTTGCTGCTGTGTATTCCCTTGGAAAGGATAAATGCAATACACACATGGTACTATTTCTGTTCTGTAGCATTTGAGCCACATCAGTGCCAGATGTCCCTTTAGAACTTGAGGTGAATGACAGGATAGATCCCCCTGGCAGTAGCTCAGAATGCCCCACAGGTACAAGCCAGAGGGGCTCCTGTATTTGTGAGCCTCTGAGTCCAAGAGCACCGAGAGGCTGCAGCAGCCACAGATCTGTTACTGGATGATGGGCTGATAATCATGTTGGATCAAAGTGTCCAGGAAATGTTTAGAAGATACTAAACTTGCCTGCCTTGGGAAAGTTTTCATTGCCACTTGACCAGCTGGTTGCAATTTGGGTTGAAAGTTTGCAGAGGTAATTTCCATGCATTCTCCCTCTCAGGTACCTAAGAGAGAAGAACCTGATACGGCAACACCTTCGCAGTCGAAGTGTTAAAAAAACAGAGACTACAGTATGATGGGATGGGCCCTTGGATCCAGCCGGGAATGGCCCCTCGGGAACTCCTGGGCTGCTGAAGGACAGTCCTTGCTGCTGCCTCCTGTGCGCTGGGAATGAGCAGTGCTTCAGCCTCCCAGAGGACAAAGCAGGGAAGGAACAGCTTCAACTGCCCCTGCTCCTGCGGTGCTGGGGCACGGGCTGGAATCACCCGAGGAGATGCACTGCATCACCAGAACAATACACGCTGCATCTGACTTGGAACTTAGGCAAAAAATGCCCTGAAAAGCCCGAGGCTTGAAATCCTGCTGATGTATGACCCGGTGCCAAGAGGCTGGCGTTGAAAAATATTGCAATAACCAATGTGCTGATAGAAAATATGCAAATTAAGAATGTGGTTATCCCTCTGTTAGAGAAATATTGTATTATATTAGCAGAAAGCTTTTCAGTAGAGCCAAGTGGCAGAAGATATTTATGTATTTCAGACTGCAGGTAGAATTTTCATTTAAGTTATAAAATATCCATGCAAGATGCCTGCAATCCACTGGCTTCAGGGTGGTGGATGCTGAAACTGCTTAAGCTTTGAGCTACTGTTAGGAAAAGGAAAACATAACTGGAACCCCTCTTACTTAGGAGCTGCTCAGCTCTTAGCAATGACAGGGAATTTATAGCTGAAATACCTCGTGAACTGCAAAGTAAGAACTGACTAAACACTGTTGGGTCCTGAAAGGCATCTCAGTGGTTTTGCAGTTGGAATAAACGATTGTGTTCCTTCCTGTGCTTTCTGTTTGACAGGGAATTGGCAAGTGCTCAGTGAGAGGCTGCATGTTACAGCCACGCAGGGGTGGGCTCACGGCCTCCCCAGGGATGTAGTTTGGGTCCAGCCCAGCCCCACCAGGGCACAGCAGCCAACTGCCAGCTCTGTTCTGGCTGTGTCGTGTTGAATGTTAGAGCTCAGATTACAGAGATGTAAATAAAATAAATCTGTGCACAGTTCATTGTCCTCCTCCCGTAGTTGGTTGTTTTTACCTGGAATCCGTGACTTACCTTAGCTGCCTTTGTCTTATGCAGGTAACAAATAGTTGTGAGAGAGGAAAGGAAGGAGCAGAACATGTTGCCTGGAAATTGTATGGAGTAAATCAAATTGTAAAACTCTAGACTGCCTGAAATCATGTTATTGGGATGTGAATTCAGAAAGTAAAAGTCAAGGTGCTGATTGAAGCTCCTCAGGTTGGACCAAGTGCGTTATTTCCAAGTACAGTTTATAATCCTGCCTCGGAAAGTGGTTAGGGACGAGTGAGTATAGAGGGCAGAAATAAAAATAATGCACAGTTAAGAGGTAGGGATTAAATGACAGTTGCCTTCCGGCTGCAGATGAACGTTCCTTGAAACAGCGGGGTGTGCCTCCAAGTGGAAGTACAGAAATATTGAATAACTGCTTGCACAGCCCATGTGGAAAAGAGGTGTTTCCAAGCAGGTTCTCCAATCCCCTGTCTACGTCCACTCTTCCTGAAAGCAGCCGGTTTTGCCACCGTCTGATGTTCAAGACTTGAATCCTTCCCATTTCTCTTGTCTTGCTGAATTGGGACTGCAAACTGCTGGAAGGCAGCTCTGGGATAGGACACAGACCCGATGCCCTTGGCCAGGATTTTAGGGTGAGTGAAACCCTGCTGAGACTCCTGTGCAGTTGGTTCTCTGTGAGTGCTGTGCTGTCTAAATGAACCCTTTCTGACAAATGCAGACAAGAGCAGGGGAAGAATATATTCCAAAGTATTACGGGACACTCAAGGAAACGCAGCAAGGACGCACAGGTGACAGAGGAAATGGGGGTCACTCCAGTGTGCACCTGAAGCCATTAATCACAAAAATAGTGATTGCAGTTCACATCTTACCTGAATTTCTATGTTTCCCTGCTGACCAGGTGCTTCAGCAGTCACTGTCTTGTCCTTTATCTGACATTTTACTTTTATTTTTTTCTTTCTCACCTAATTTCGGGTACCCAAAATAATCTTTCTCTGCTTAAAGGCAAGGTTACAACAAGCCAGAGCAGCCCATATTGGTGAGTTCACACACTATAGTTCAAGGCCAGCATTACAAAAATAATTATTCAGTGATTGAAAAGTAATTTACAAGTGGCTACAGGCAGATTTTCTATAATTTGGTCTTATTTGCGCTTAGACTTCGTAAGCTTAGGACTTAAAATCTTTCTTGGTTTTGGTCTATGACTATTTGGGATAATAAAATAACATTGCATACCAGAAGATGGTGGCCACAACCAAACTCTCAGTTTCCATCGCTTTGTTTATTGTTTCAGTGGATTTCCTTACAGGGATTCAGCCTCCCTCTGAACTCAATGTGGCTTTTTGCCACTTGGGTTGGTTTAAATGCTTCCTGTGCCATTTGTATCCCTTGTCCAGCGAGGACTGTGAAAAACAGAATAGAGCTACAGAATTTTTTTTTTTAAAGTTTAATGAGGAATAAAATAAAGAGACAGAAGTCCAGCATTGGGGTGCTCCTGGCAAACAGCCAGAGAACACAGCAGTAGTCCCCCTCCCTTTACACTGTTACATTGCTGAGGTACATGCATATTCATAAAGTCCAGACATTACTCAAACATTCTTGCAAAGTGTTCGATGCTCTGGGAATTCTGCTTGGTTTCTTCATACTCTGCCTGACATCCTGTGTGTCGAGTGAATATATTTCATTCCTCCTTGTGTCTCCATCCTGATGTTTTACATCCTCTGATAAGGATTTAAATTTGACCTGGTATTTTCTAATTGGCCTCTGGTGCTCTGGTTTGTGTCACGGTTATCTTATCACTGGGAGAATTCAGTCAGCAGAAAAGGGTAACAAGATTGCCTTACACCATTTGTTTTGGTTCCATAGAGGTATTTAACACCCAGTGTTTATTTAAGGGTTGTGATATTGTATATTCACCACACTACTATTTCTGTAAGATATGCAGCACATACTTAAACTGGTATATTACGTTATACTAACAAACAGCTAATTAAAGGTATATATAATACTATATCCAAATACTTATGATCAATGCAGAAACTAATATAGAAATGTGAAAGCAAGTATCATATTGCCCTTCTTTTTTAACAGGACCTTCCCATCAGTTGTGCAGCTCCTTATGCCAATAGCATTTTCTCACTCCTTTTGACAAGTTTTGGACCCTGGAAAAAGGAAAACCCCTGTGAGCAATCGCTCAGGAGGGTGAGTGATGTGCTTGTGACACGTTCAGTGGGGTGGCAGCTGCAGGTCCTGTCCTCTGGCCTTGGCAAGGCGTATAGGACACTGCGTGCAGAGCACAGACACATTTATCACTGTGAATGCACACTGGGTTTTGCTGTTCGGCTGAGGTGGCCTTAGCTTTGGTGTTGGTCAGAAAAATACTGAAATGCAGTTCTGGTAGGAAGAGTCGGTATAATCCTTTTGGGATGTGCTGTTCAGGCAGCTGCAGAGATTAACACTATTTATTAATAAGAGAGAATTATTTCTATTTTATAATTTTAAGCCAAGATTTGGGGGAAAAAATAACAAAGCTTAGGACTCAGAGATGGTTTGTTAAATGTAAGTTAAGGAATAGAGTAAATAGAGGGACACGAGGGAAGCAAGGAAAATTGGATTTACAGGAGGGTAAAGAGGATCCAAAGCAGTTTTGGGAGCGGGCTGAGAAAGCACAGGGAAGGCAAGAGGGAGGGAAACAGCGGCAGGGAGGTAAACAGGGAAAATAATTTGATCTAAAAGCACTCCTGAATGGTCACGAGAGCAGAGGCTGCGTTCGGCAGAGCTCGGCTCGGTTCGGCAGAGCTCGGCTCGGTTCGGCAGAGCTCGGCTCGGTTCGGCGCTGCTCGCTGCGTTCGGCTGAGCACCCCACAGATCCAAGGCGAGGTGAGGATGGCCCGGACCATCAGCTCCATGGAACAGCGGCATGTTTTGGGGACATGGTGAGGACGGAGCGAGCCGCCGCCTCTGCAAAGGGCTGGCAGCCGGGCTGCAGAGCCACAGGAGCTTCGCCTCCACCCGCCCGGCGCTGTAGGGCTCTGTGAAGCAGCTCTGCAGCCCCGTGCTGGTGCACATCCCCGTCCTAGAGAGGAACTCGCCCTGGGGGCACGGCACCCCCTGACATTGGGGCACGGTGAAGCCTCGCGGGACCCCGCGGGCCCGCAATGGCCAGGACCGGAAGAGCTGGCACGGCGCAGCCGCGGGCGGTGCAGCAGGGGCGGGGCCCGGGCCGGGGCGGTACCGGCGCCTGCGGTTCCGGGCCTTGCCCACGGCCGTGTCCGCCCGAGCGCGACCCGCGGGCCAGAACGCGGCGCTCGCTGTCGGTGCGGCCGCCCCATTCCTGCTGTGCCAGGGCCAGCTGCTCCAGGAGCGAGCTGTCCTGAGCCTGGTGCGGCCGCGATCCTCTGGCCGGCGCAGCGACGCCCGGAACGAGCGAACGGCGGCTGTGGTGAGGGGCCGGAGGGCAGAGAGGGCTGCGCACGGGTCACGTGGGCCGGGCGGATCCGCGGCGGGATTTGAGCATTTCAGCGCTGATCCTCGGGACCCAACTGCTGCGTGGGACGGGTTTGTCCCGCACTCGGGGCTCTCTGGGAC